AACAAATAAGAGGTTTTTGAGGAAATCAAAATTTTTATCAATCACCAATCATGCCTGTCAAAACTATTATCTCCGCACAACAAATCATCATCATCCACAATCCAAGAGTCGGTAGTCCAATCCCAGCAACTAGATCATGTGTTTTTAAAAGCTTCTTAAAAAAACAAACAAACAAAAACAAAAAAAAAACCCAGAATAATACAATAATACACTTTTAGACCATTTCTAATAAAGCCAGTTTGGGGCGACATACGATATTGCTTGCAATAGCAGACTTTCTAGTTTTACTTTCGCGTTTAATTAATATAATAGTCAATGACAAAAATAACCGTCACGCCGCAAATTCAAATGTTTTCCTTCCTTATTACTTATAACTTACATCCGACCTGCAAAAGGCTTTCTATATAAAGAATAAGAACAATGAATGGATGAATCTTAAAACCTTATTGACAGAGCACATTGAATTTCTGAGACAATGCATTACTTTGGATATTTTATATTAGTGTCGTTTTTTTTATAAAGAATACCTACCAAGAGGTAACAGCTGTTGAACCAAAATGTTCTGATGCCGAGCTGTAAGTATTTAATTCTTCTGTTATAAAGAAAAATTTGCGATGTTGTGAACCTTATTTTTTTTAAACAAGTAATTCAGAGAATTTGTGTCCCCCGCTTAGGGAAAAAAGAAGAGCATGCTCAGGGGGGATGCGTCAGACCCCCCTCCTCCCCCTCCCCCCCCCCCGGATTTGTAGAATTATGAAATGTATACATGAATATTAAAGGGGAAAAATGCCAACAAAGATATAAAGATTTGATTGCTTATTCTTTAATATGTGTATAGAAGATTCTTTTTATATAGAATATTTATCACACTGTAGTTACGATTTTATGAGTTTGTACAAGCCAGACGTCATAACTTTTTCATTTCACATGCTGAATACTATCATTTAGTTAATCAGAAAAAAAAACTTAAAACAAAAAGATCGTCTGGGATTTGAACCTGGGACCTCTCCCATGCTATGCGAGAGTCATAACCACTAGACCACGGAGGTACTTGATTTAAATGCAAACATTAGGTCACATAAAATGTTTATATTCATGTTCGATATTGTCAAGATTTTGCACAATACATGGTTTCTAATTTAGCCTTTACTAAACAGTTCTAATAGATGTAATAAGAATATAAAGTCCGCCGACAACCTGTATTAGACGTAATAACTCTCCGCATGCCCTTGTGCTAAAGATAGTGCCGAGCGACTTTAAATACAATAAATAATAATAATAAAAAAGGGGCGGGACACTTTGAGAGGGGTGAGAGAGGCCCTAGGGAGTTCTGGTAAAATATTTCATTGCGAAAACTCAAAAGCTTCTGTTCGAATCCCACTGTGGGACGTGGAGACCGGTCCTTCGGATGAGACCGTATAATCCGAGGTCCCGTGTCGCAGTAGGTGCTGGCACGAAAAAGACCCCTCACTGCTCAATGGCCGTAAGTGCCGAGTATAGGACAAAATTTGCAGCTCTCCACCGGCAAATGGTGGCGTCTCCATATGAGTAAAAAAAATTCTCGAGAGGGACGTTAAACAACATACAAACAAACAAACAAAAGCTTCTTGAGATATCGCCCGAAAACGAAAGTGTTAAACACAGACGGAGTGTATAAGTTTATGACCTTGAACTTTGACCTTTTGACCTCAAAATCAATAGGGTTCTTTTTTAGGCCACAGGGAGTTGCTATGTAAAATATCATTGCAAAAGCTCAAAGGATTCTCGAAATATCGTGCAGAAACGAAAGTGTCAACACAGACAGAATTTATGAATTTATGACCTTGATCTTTGAACTTTTGACCTCAAAATCAATAGGGTTCTTTTTTAGGCCATAGGGAGGTGCTATGCAAAATTTCATTGCGAAAGCTCAAAGGGTTCTCGAGATATCGCGCGGAAACGAAAGTGTTACAAACAGACAGAAATACAGACGAACTGACGAACAGCTAGACGGAGTGACAGACAGACCCAAATTAATATCCCCCACTTTCAGTGGAAGCGGGGGACAAAAAATCATAAACTTCATAAAATTTGGAATATAGAATCATTTATTTGTGTTTTAGGAAAAACATTCGATGTTGTACTGGCTACAGAACAATTGGAAGAAAATGTTACCGTAAGTGTATTTTTTTTCGATATTAAATGCATTTCAGTTTTTGCATGAACATTACACCCACGCGGCTGCATGACAACTACACACACGATTCCCATCACTTTTAATGACATTTAGTCTACGAATATTATGTAGAAAACCTATGTATTTATATCGTAGTTGTTTTACTGTAAATTTAGTTTGCATTGGCTCATTTGGATTTGAATGTAACAAACCATGTCCTGAAGGATACTATGGTGTAAAATGTGCAGAAAAATGTCCTTGTGAGAGATGTAATGCAAAAACCGGGGCATGTTTCAATGGTACAAAAGAAATACGTAAGTGTATAAGACATGAGTACTAACAGAGGAATTGATTATTCATATAGTCAGACTGCAAAATAATTACGTTTTACTGGCTTTATACCACTTCATAGTTTTGACATGTAATTTTTCATAAATATTTTGTGATTTGGTCTTTTTTGTTAAAGATAATGTAAGAGATGAACCAGAAAAGGGATCAATGACATGGATTCCCATTTTATTAGGTCTGCTAGGGAGTATGGGATCTCTCGCAGTTCTTTTTTTAGCGCTTTACGTGAAAGAGAGGTACATGATCTTAAATTTCTGTGTATCACAAAAATTTCATAAAACTCATTTCATAAATATTTTTCTGTTTTTAATTCCTGCATGTCTCTTCGGGCAACATTGAGTTAAAACAATTAATAGCAATTTAAATTTATTTAATTGTATTTATTTCAGTTTTCATAGTGTAAATGTTCAGGTGTATATGTGACACCTGGAAAAAAGTTATTTAAACATCAATATGCTTTCTTTCTTTGTCATGCGGGGATAACGGTTGCAGAAAAATCCATATCAGCAAACCTGGCTTCGTATTTTTTTTCAGCAATTGTTGCAACTGATAGTCTCCTCATTAACAAAGAAGACTGTTAACTGCTTATCTTTGTATCTGCATAAATTGTTCATGAAAGTACGGAAAATGGTGTATTATTGGTGAATCATTTTCGAAGAGCCCTCTTCTTAAGAATTCTTTCAAACAGATGTCTTTTTAAAAACCTATACCAACTAGTTTATTGTTTATGGATTGATAATGTCAATAAGTTTTTATTTTAAAAATCTAAAATAAAATGAAAATAATGCATGTTAATCATAATAACGCTATAATTGGAACCAAGTTTAATGGGATATATTTGAATGTATTTTGATGATTTATACGACTTTTTATTATGAGTTTGATGAGTTGTAAAACTCAAAAGATATTTTTACTTCACACTTACCCTATGTTTATTTTTTCTATGTCCCATTACATGCACATACTAAGGTATTTTACTATTTGTCAGGAAGAATTTAGTTCAAAGTAATACAGATTTGGAGGGTATGTTGATATTTACATATCAATTCAATTTGAATATTATCTAAAATATGTGCCTTCAATCATCACAGTGTATTTACTACAACACATTGAATCTCATATTTATTCAATGTAGAAACTGCCTTATTATTACAGATCCAAAAAGAGAGGGAACTACAAACGATGAAAATGAAGAAGACGATTATGACAGCATTAGAGAATCTCGATTGGTTTTTGACAATGAAAGAGCCTGTGGCGGCCAGAAAAGGTTTAAAACATTGGATAGAGTTAGCTACGCAAAGACACAGACCATACAAAATCCTTACAATAAGCTAAGCTTTAACAGATTTAAAAATCGGACAATAGACTTCAGAAATGGTGAATTATATAATATATCTGAAACTGCCTCACTTGTCGGCGACTATATTACTGTTGCGCCTGATAAAACCGACCCAGATCCTTTGAAATCCAAAGATTCTAAAGGAGAAGATAATAATGAACCATATAGTAATTACTACAGCGATGTGGCAAACAGACAAACAGATAAAGAGCATTATTGTAAAAAATATAAACAAAATCCTGATATTCCAGAGAAAAAGGCAAGACATATACCAAAGGCACAAAAAAAGAAACCACCAATAAAGCCGAAACCTGCACATTTAGGTTTACCAAGTAAAAATGCGAATAAAGAGCCAAAAAATAAAAATAAACAGTGTAATCTCGAACACGAATTAGACTGAACTGATATCAAAAGATGAAAAGAGAAAAATACTTTTTTCTTCAACAAAATGTGTGAAATGTCACATTTGGATTTGAGGAAGTCATAGTCAATAGTCATGCGATAAAACGCATGACGCACCAAGGAGCACGGGAAAGTACTTGGATATTGTGAAGAGGATTTCAAAAAGTGGACCCCAGATTATTGTCTATAATATATATTGTTCTTCTTCTGCCTAACGCAAATGATATTTTCAAGCTCATTCGAATATTGTAAAAATATAATACGCCTATCAACATGTCTGCCATCTTATGTGCAGCAATGCATGAAAAGGATTATAAAGAATCAACATGCCTTATCCTAGATGATGAAAATGTGTTCTAGGAAAATCATAATAAAAAGTACATTTATGCCAACCAATGTACTTCAACATTATAAACAGCCAGAGTCCGAGCTTGTTTTGCGTAAAATAGACATAAGACCCATATTGTGTGAAAAGGTCATTTATTCACAAAAGTACATTACTCAAATTATTGAATATTATATAATTAGCATTTACAAAATGCATCATTTGATATGATTGAATAAATGACATAGGTTCGCAAAGGTGGGGATAAATAATGTTACCAACTTAGAACAAAAGCATCTAGAGTTTCTGACAGAAAATGAGGGAGGTCAGTGGGTGGGATTTAAATCGTCCTTGCAGCTAGCAGCCAAATCAAGGAATGCCGCGAACGACGCAGACCCCTGGAAAAACCCAGGGCGACATCCACAAAAAACCAATGAAAAGCGCGCATTCCTAGGTATGCAGAATGATGCAGAGTTAACTGCGGCTGACAACTAAAATTTACTCGCATTGAGTCATGTTTTATTTCCGGTAATTAAGTACGCGTAAACTCTAGATGCTTAAGTTGAATAAACAAATATGACAAAAATACAATAAAAAAAAATCCTATATATAATCTTGTTGTCATAAATTATTTTATATTGTTCATAAAATCAATTTTATGCCAACCAATGTACTTCAACATTATAAACAGCCAGAGTCCGAGCTTGTTTTGCGTAAAATAGACATAAGACCCATATTGTGTGAAAAGGTCATTTATTCACAAAAGTACATTACTCAAATTATTGAATATTATATAATTAGCATTTACAAAATGCATCATTTGATATGATTGAATAAATGACATAGATTCGCAAAGGTGGGGATAAATAATGTTGCCACCCATCACCTCTGCAAGAGGGGATCCCCCACCCAAGGACTCTGGCAGACATGGCGAGTCAAAAAAATAAATACTAAAATAGAATAAAATAACAATGTAGCTAAAAAGGAATTGTACAGAAAAAGCGATATGCAGAATAATTCCAGCGAAAATACCTTTCATAACTAATTTAACATTTTCATAACTAAAGCTCAAAATGCATTTACGAGTTATAAACTGAGCCAACCTGTGATAAATGTACATCTACAAGTACAACATCATAATAATCATTTAGAGGCAATTTTGAATGCCACTTAATATGTACACACACAAGGAAATACATTTATGTATTTCACTGCTGGCAGGCAATGCTGTCCCAGATTACAAAGATCAACATTTCTCCACATGTTCAAAATTGCTGTTGTAAACCGATATTGACCAAAGAAGAGTACAGGTACATCTACAAGTTTCTCTGCTGACAGACAATGCTGACCCAGCCTTACATGAAGTTAATAATGTAAAGTAAGAAAATTGTTGCTGGCAGGCAGTGCTGACCCAGCCTTAAACCAAACATAAACATATACGAAGTACTAGTGTTAAAAATGGCAGGCAGTGCTGACCCAGCAAACTAATTTATGGTCCCCGCTGGTAGGCAATGCTAACCCATATACTAGGGAAACGGATAATCAAAAATTTAAAAAATGTCTCTGTTGTATTTCAAAAATTATGCATGCGAATGTACTTTAGAAATGCATCTAATTTCCATCTTCCCATATTCTGAATGACACTTAACGGGACTCCCCTTGCTGCAGCAGACGTGGCTGCTCCTATACGAAAACTATGACCTTTATAAAATCTATTATCCAGACCTATAAATGAAACAGCTGATCCAAGAACCGAGTTGAAGAACGAACGTGAAATAGGAGATCCGCATTTAAATTGAAACAGGGGACCTTTAGTGTGATTGAATGCTTTCACGTATTTGTAAAGTGCAAAAACTGGGCAAGCCTGGTTATTACATTGCCTTGGGATAAAAATAGTTCTAGGGTGAAGGTCACTATGTTTATAGTGAACAAGAATTATTGACATTCCCAATAATGATGAGTTATCCCATTCAAAGGACAGATTTTCAAATTGTAAAACGGCGGAGGACTCCGACGACGGCGACTTGACAGTAATCTCGCCTACTCTTAAAAATGCGTAAAAAGCCAACAGAAACATTGCAGTTATTAGCAATTGGTTATCGCAGTTTGACACGACATATGGAATTGATGAAATCAATCTTGTTAAAATGTCTTTTGTTATTGGTAGTCTGCAATCCACGGAACCCCTAATATTGTGCGCACCTTTCAAAATCTTTTTTATCAAGAAATTGTTGGTAGGTCGCTAAGACTGTTAGCCTTGTGAACAAAACTAATTGCCGACATGTGTGTTGATATTGTGGATGGGCTATAACCTTTCAAAAACAAATAGGCTATATATTGAGTCAACATAACATGGGAAGATGGAAACGCCTGACTCTCAGGAAAATAAATGTTACAAAACTGCATATAGTTTTGAATAAATCTGTTATACGATGCAACTGTGGCAGATGACAATGATGCATTTAACAGGGATGTAACTAAACTATCAAGAAGTGATCTGGAATATTGGTTGGACAAGGGGCCAACCATGGTGCCAATTTGTGAGCTTTCTGAAAAAGAAAGCGAGAAAGCATATCACAAATTATGTTATGTTTGCCTTTGATATGTTTAGCACGGAAAAAGATGTTATATTTTAATGCGGCTAGGACCAAACGCCTAACCAATTTCATGACTATTTTATTCTTTGACGAAGTTTTATTGATGATATCGACAACCGCAGCATTATCCGTAAAGAATAATATTCTATGGTTTTTTTAAATAATGTCCCCACAATTCTAAAGCTAACACTATAGGAAATAATTCTTTGGTGTAATATGCCAAGACACCATATCGTTTGACCACTCACCAGTTAACCATTTGCTACCAAAACAGCTGCATAACCTCCATGCACACCTGCAGCATCAGAATATAATTTAATTGTATCTGATGAAACCCATTTATCAAATAAAAAACAGGACTTTCCCATTGAAATTATCAATGAATGTAGACCAGGCATGCAAGTCTGACCTAGCTTCAGCATTGAGCGTAATGTGGTATGAAGGACAAGAATGACCGATTGTTAGATCTATCAATCTACGTAGGAAAGCCCTGCCTGGAATAATAACACTACAGGCAAATTTTTAATAAGCCAATCAATGACTGGAGCTCTTGCAAAGAAATACTGCGTTTCCTCCTAAAAGTATGCAAAAGACAAGATATTTTAGCAATTTTATCCTCTGGCAAACGTGCAACCATTAAAACGGAATCAGTTTCTATTCCATAAATTGTAATAATTTTCGTTGGTAACTGAGTTTTTTCATCCTTAATAGGTACACCAATATCGTTACATAATTTCAAAAATTGATCTAACGAGTGTGCACAAACACTAGTATTTTGTTTACCCACGAAGAAGAAGTCATCCAAAAGATGTGATATGCCTACTACCCCGAAGTTCTGTGATAAAGCCCAGTGGAGTGCTGATGAGAATTTCTCAAAGAGCTGACAGGAAGATGAGCAACCCATAGGTAAACATGTGTCATAGTAATATTTACCTTCCCATACAAAGCCAAGTAAATGATAATCATCAGGGTGAATAGGGAGTAAACGAAAAGCATCCTCAATGTCTGCTTTCGCCATAAGCGAATTAAAACCATGTGATTGTACTAAACCTATGACAGTCTCTATATTTTCGTAAGAAACGGAACAAAACTCTCGTGGAATTGAATCATTAACTGACTCTCCTTTAGGAAAGGACAAGTCACGAATGACACGATATTTTCCTATCTCTTTTTTAGGAACCAAACCTAATGGCGAACAGACAAAATTTGGAAATGGGGGTTGATCATAGGGACCTTTGTATCGTCCTAATCTTAATTCCTTATTTATTTTATCACAGACAATTTCAGGGTTGTCAATAGCACTTTTATGATTTCTACATTTTAAAACTGACTGTACAGAAGGTACTGCCCCAATACGAAAGCCATTGGTAAAACCGGAAACTAAAAAATCTCTGTCAATCTGATTGTACCTTTTAAGGTGATACGCCAGTCTATCACACTTCACTGGTGTTCTGAGATTTTGGGGAATTCTGTGATTTTTTTTGCAGAGCCGCAGGTGTCGGTCGCGTGTTTTTTGCCACAGTGCACGCACAGATGTTTGAGTTTGCACTCTTTGAAACTACACTGCCCTGTACTGCAGAATCTCCAGCAGAAACCTTTTGGGTAGCTATAGTTTGGTCGCTGCTGGATCTTAGCCTGAAAGGGGGTTTTGACGCGCTTTGAATTTGAGGAGAGGTTGTAAATTCCAGATTTGTTCTGGCTTGTTGCCACCCGCCACAACTCATCATGTATAACCGACCACTCAAGTTTATGAACTTGACGAAGTTTTCTAAATTCTTCATCGTATAATTTCGCTGCCTGGAAACCATAGTCTAGTGATATTTTTCCCATGTTGTTGCCGTACTTAATGAGGTCTAAAGCAAGAGATGGATATTTTGTGATGTACAACGACATGTAAATACCAAAAGCATTATTCCACTGATGGACGTTAAATAGAGTTTTTATAGGGGTAGAATGGCAGTTAGTTAGAAGCTTTATGCCCGACGAAATATCATGTACTTCGTCAGGTTGCTTGACATGTGGTAACAAGGCAGCAAAATCTACGTATACGTCATCAAAAACAGCATTCCTAAGTTTGTCACTGACATGATACGCCAAAGGTAAAGCATTTTTGACAATAGAAATGTTGCTAAAATTTACAGGCATTGTTGTACTACCTTCGACGGAACTAACAGATGGTAAACTATTGCCAGCAGTGGATGTCAATGATGATGTTGATGGTACAGGTTGGCTAATCGTAGAGCGTGAAGTCAAGTTGCCAACTAAGTATACCAGATCTGTCGGATTAGTGGGTGGTTGGCTAGTGACAGTTTGTGCCATTGGATGGTCGATGCGAGGAGTTGTAAAAACAGACTGGGTGGAAGTGACAGGCTGATTAATATCAGAAGGGTTTTGAATTTTCTTAAGAAGGGCTGCTGCAATCTCGTCTGCAGAGGGTAACTGTGCAGATTGTGAGGGATTGGATGCTTGTTGTTCCGGAATACGTTGGTTAGGTTCATTGGGTGGAACTGCCTTTTTCGAAGAACGCACTCGTTTTGAACTGTTTGTGACATCTTGGTCTTGCCGCGCCACCTGCATGCGTTTTTTCCCTCTAGGCATAGTTACCTAAGTTAAACAAAGTGTAGACACAATCAAATAAAGTTTTGTTCAATTCTTAAGCATCCATTATCTATAAATACTAACAAGAGTATAGGCAATATTCAGAGAATAAAAGACCCGAGAACAGTATGCTACAAGGTTATAAAAGGCTCACGACACAAAATATGAAACATTGTGGGAATGTGAGCAACCGTAGATGCATTATACTTAATACATCTATTTAATAATGAACAAAAGCACAATGCAATTGTGCAACCACACTCACGTATGCTTCACCTGTTGGGTATACCTGTGAGCAACCACAAAACAAGGCTCACCTATATCAGGAGATTTATGCATAATAACATGAGAAACCAATGGAAAAAAAAATAATAATAACACACACAACTGCTAATAATTACAGTTAAGGTGTGAACACACAACAATCGTTGTGAAAAAAAAAAATAATAACACACACACACACACACAAAACTGCTAATAATTACAGTTAAGGTGTGAACACACAACAATCGTTGTGAAAAGAAAAAAATAATAATACACACACACAACTGCTAATAATTACAGTTAAAGTGTGAACACACAACAATCGTTGTGAAAAAAAAAATAACACACACACACAAAACTGCTAATAATTACAGTTAAGGTGTGAACACACAACAATCGTTGTGACATATAACCAAGCAGCACACAAGTCTAGGGTCAGACAATTGTTCTGAATACCATATATGAGCAACATCATTAATGCTGCACAATGTTACATAATCCTGCTAGGGTGTTCATACCCTGTATCAATATTGCTAACAACTTAAAAACATCCACGTCTATGGCAAATACCAATGGCAGACCTAATGCTCTTTGTATCTTTCCGCATTCCTAATGAATTTAAATGCACACCATCACTGAGCATAAGTGATCTGCTATTTTGCCAAAAACCGCGATGGTGCCAAAAGGTAATATTTGGATTGTTTCGACATAACTGTTCAATATGTTGATTAATTTGGTAAACAATGTTGTTGAAGAGTTTCCCACAACGGCGAGAAAATCTTCGCAACAACTGACCAAGTATGATATGCTTAACGTTGTAAGCTTGAACGATAAAACAGGCGAAAGAAAATATATCGCGCGCTAATTTTGCAGGATCCGAATCAACTCCTATATCATTGCCTCCAACCTGCAAAAAAAGCACGTGAGGTCGAAACGTCTCTAAGATATTAATATAACAAGGTTTTTGCAGACATCTTTGACCCGGTCGGACAGTTCCACCCCCAATTCCTTTAAAACAAACATGAAATTGCCCAGCATCTAGTGATAAATTTTTCCATTCTCTGTGAGATATGATAAATTCGTCAAGACGACGAATGAAGGAATGACCAAAAACTAATACCCGACAGGTCATAATGAATGCAAAATAAGTATCAAGATTAAAGAACAAATGTAAAAGAATTATGGTTCGCCTATACCTTTTTAAATCGTCCTTGCAGCTAGCAGCCAAATCAAGGAATGCCGCGAACGACGCAGACCCCTGGAAAAACCCAGGGCGACATCCACAAAAAACCAATTAAAAGCGCGCATTCCTAGGTATGCAGAATGATGCAGAGTTAACTGCGGCTGACAACTAAAATTTACTCGCATTGAGTCATGTTTTATTTCCGGTAATTAAGTACGCGTAAACTCTAGATGCTTAAGTTGAATAAACAAATATGACAAAAATACAATAAAAAAAAATCCTATATATAATCTTGTTGTCATAAATTATTTTATATTGTTCATAAAATCAATTATAATGAAATGTGTATGACATTTAAACGGTAGAATAATATTAGCAGAATTCTTGAAGAAAATGAAAAATAAGAAAATGTTCAATATATGCTGTATATAGATATTATTCATCTATCTGAACAATAATTATAAAAACGTATGAATAAATCATTCCGTTGATGGTGTAGTTTCCTTTCTGAAATAGATTATCTACCGTAAACTGCATTATTGTTAGACTTGATATTTAATAATAATAAAAAAAGATTCAAATCAATTAAATAAAATATTGTCTGAAATATTTGATACACTTGTTACGTGTATTACAATTGGTGAAAATGTTAAAGTTCAAAAAGGTATATTTTTACTACAAGAATCAAAGTAATTTTAAAAAGATTATAAAAATAAAATATAAAGATGTTTATTTTTATCTTTTATAGTCTCAAGACATATAAAAAAAATTCAAAAAAAAATTTAATTTCGATTTATAGAAAGTTAAAGATAGATGCTTACATTCACAATCAAACATTAAAAAAGAAATGCCGTACAATTCATTATATTTTGATTATCTGGATTTGGGTAAAAATTGGGATTTTATATTTATAAAAGGATGTACTTGATGAATAAAACGGCTTCATAGGAGCATCAATGAGGAAATAATTCTCATGGGAAGCGATCCTCTCATATTTGAAATATTAAATATTACTACCCTTCTTTGTAATTTTTTTCAGGAATCCATGATGTCGAAATCAGTATTATCATTTTTATGGAAATATAATTAGAAATAAAATGAAAGTTCAAGTACCAAATTATTTTTACCATTTTATACTCCCTCCATGAGAAACCTGAAAAAAATAAGAAGTTCATGATGTCACTGTCTACACTAAGCCCCAAATTTCCAATTGTAAAAGTTATTACCAATAGAAAACCCTCACATTCCGTGAAGTTAAAATATACAAGACTTTTAAAAGGACCTCCCTCTTGATTTCACCATTGCATAATCATTTAACGCTCACATTTACATGATTTTACAATATACTGTACCAGAAATAATATATTTTTAATGAATTTCTCCAACAGATTATATTTCTGAAATCACAAGCTATTATTTTGATGTCGCAGATTTCAAAGACACATAAAATGCAAATAAATTATATAAAGAGAACTTTGAAATGTAACTAAAATAAAGGTAATTATGGCTGGAATCTGGTGCTCTCTCACACCTTCAATGATTCCTCTAAGAGCTAGTATTTGTCTGGTTGTTGTTTTGCCTTACTGTCCCTAACCCATTTCTACATGCCTCTGACTTGATGTATCTGAGATATTAGTTCCTCTTTTGCCGCCTCTTTGAGTATCTCTCTTCTAGCCAAAATTTTGCCCTTTTGGTCTGTTGTCTCTACCATTTTGTGTTCTTGATATCCCCAATAGGATGTTTTTTCTGTCTTTGCTCTAATTCATCCAAATACTTGCACAAGGATAGCATTTCGTCAGGATGTGCATCATGACTCCGAATTTACTTTAACTTTATGAGGTAAATGTTACTGAATAAAAAATACTTTTATCTTCGATGATGAAGAAGCATTACAAGTTTCTACAAAGTCGATTGTCAGGGGCCCTGTAACGACTTTATTTTATGGTCTATTTATGATCATTTGAAAAATACATATTGCGAAATATGTTTGTTAATATATTTTTATGATTGAAAAGAAAATCGAAACTTATGTGTGGCACAAAGGCAACTTATAAATAGATACTAAAGGAAAGTTTTGATGGTTTTGGTGGGAAAAAAAATCCTCAAAGTCTAAAAATATGAATCGTGACCATTTTGCAATTAAAGATTAGAAAATTTAACATATATAAATCATGTCTCTAAGATTTTGTGAAGGAGTAATGCAGAAATATGTGTTATATCTTCTATTTTGAATATTTGATACAAGAAAAAACATTGGGACAAAGTTCATTTCTTTTTCTTTTTTTTTTTTTTCTTTTTCTTTTTTTTATAGATATTAAGGCTATAAATAAAATTTTAATGAAAATACTGAATTTATTTTTAAAGAGAAAATATATACCTAATGCCCATGCGTCGATCAAAGACAGCATTAATATCTTAATCATAAAATTCATTACATTACATGACACTTATACGCATGTCTGGTTGCGCCCTGATTATCTGAAGAAAGGCAAAGCAATGCTCAGTTTTCCGATTTAACATGTAGCTTTAATAAATCCCAGAAACATTGTAATATCATATGGAAACCTGCATCTAAAGCAACGGAATACAAATTAATTTAAATGAATATAATTTCTTAAACTGTTTCAGTATACTAGACATACTTATAGAAGGGAGGGAGCTCTCGATTGCAGTTCAAATGGAAGCGCTGTGGAACCTCATTCAAGACTCAGACTCGATTTGTTACATACTGCATGGTGAATTGTTAGAATGGTGTAATTTGTGAAATTTTTAAGCATCGAAAATAACTGCACCTGATGATCAACTTTTTAAGGACAGTAGAGCACTTTTCATAAAATATATTGTTTGATAAAACAAGAATATCAACAGTCTTGTTTAAAGTCATCAATTCGTAAGTTCTATGGTCGATACAATGACCTTGTCAGCAAATACAATCTATCATTAAGTCATATGCTGACTGGCGTTTTTCATACTAATTGTTAGGCCATTTTTTACACAATGAATTGTCGACGGATTTCTCGTTATTTACCTATCATGACAAGGAGCATACGGCGGGTGTGACCGGTCGGCAGAGGATGCCCACTCCTCTATGGCACCTGATCCCACATCTGATGTTTTTGGGGGTCTGTGTTTGCTCTGCTCCCGATTTTTATTGTTTAAATGGACTCGGAGCTTGAATACTGTTCGTTATCCCCATATTTCATTGTTAAGTCTAATCATTTTCTTTAGTAAAAGTAATATGAGAAAGATTAGCATGAAGCTGTATAAGTATAAACTTTTGTCAAATCTTCGGTTAAATGCAAGTCTTGTAGTATTCTATTTATATATCATATATTGGTGAATTAAAAAAAATAAAATGACCAAACACATATTTTTCAACCGGGACGAAACGTACAGGCAATGGGAATAAATTTTTATGCCTCAGAATATGTCTTTAGATAGTGTCTAAAAAAAAAAAGTTATGCCCAAAAATCATGCTAAAATGACAAGAGTACAGCACATTTAATTTGTGACATTTTGAAAATTCAATATTTTTTTGAAGATCTGTGAAATAAATAATACTGGTTTATGTTGGAAATAAAAAATTTCCTGATAATATTCAAAGTATTGAGCTTCAAATGAAGACTGTAGCAACTTTTGTTTGACCAATTTGTGGTCATGGCTGATGTTGAAAAAAATGTTATA